CTTATTATAATACTTTGGTAGAGGAGAGCACATCAGGTCCTACGAAGGAACAAACAAACAAAACTAACTAACTAACTAACTAACTAACTAACTAACTAACTAACTAACTAACTAACTAACTAACTAACTAACTAACTAACTAACTAACTAACTAACTAACTAACTAACTAACTAACTAACTAACTAACTAACTAACTAACTAACTAACTAACTAACTAACTAACTAACTAACTAACTAACTAACTAACTAACTAACTAACTAACTAACTAACTAACTAACTAACTAACTAACTAACTAACTAACTAACTAACTAACTAACTAACTAACTAACTAACTAACTAACTAACTAACTAACTAACTAACTAACTAACTAACTACTAACTAACTAACTAACTACTAACTAACTAACTAACTAACTAACTAACTAACTAACTAACTAACTAACTAACTAACTAACTACTAACTAACTAACTAACTAACTAACTAACTAACTAACTAACTACTAACTAACTAACTAACTAACTAACTAACTAACTAACTAACTAACTAACTAACTAACTAACTAACTAACTAACTAACTAACTAACTAACCAACTAACTAACCAACTAACTAACTAATTAACTAGTTACGCTGTACAGAGTTTCAAATACAAAATTTTAAACTTTTTTAAAATCTTTTGGTGTTAACCTGGAAAGTATTTCTTCTCAAGAACTCCCAATAGACTCCGTCTAATAACTTAACTTCCCTATATAAATCGTAGGGTATACAAAACCGGAATTAAGTATACGTGTCTAGATTGTTTTCAGGCTTGTAATAATAATTCTTATTACTGTCATGTACTTTTAAAACATCAACTGAGAATTATTAAAACTAATTAAAAGCAATATTAAAACGAAAGATTTTTAAAATCAGTTTTTTTTTAAACAGATGCACACACACAATGATTATAAACAAAAAAAATCGCTGAAAGTTTTAAATTGTACCTGTTTAATTACTATAGTCGTTTAAAATTATAAACTCGACCTATTAAAATGCCAACATAGTAATAGAGTTTAGACGAAAACTGTGATATAATTGAAGTACATACTAAATAATAAATTTAATTACAATTTTAAACAATAACTTTTTTTATCTAAATTATCAATGTCTACAATCAATTTTAA